CGGTGCGGGTCTCCCCGCGGGTGATGAGGGCAGCGTGCCACAGCGTGAGGGCCCCCAGGGCCAGCGCTACGGAGCTGCAGGGGAGAGCAGGGCCGAGCCGGAGCCCACCTGCATTCACTGCGGGAGGGCCCCCGGGGCCGGCGGGCCGGGGCTGCAGGGGAGAGCAGGGCCGAGCCGGAGCCCACCTGCATTCACTGCAGCCCAGGGCTCGGCCAAGGGAAACGCCTGGCCTTCCCTTGCACACAGCCCCTGCCGCCCGGGCCCCTTACCTGCACAGCACCCACAGGTAGACGATGCTCTTGTGGAAGGCCCGCTGGCGGAAGGAGAAGGCAGGAGGCGGGCTCTGCTGGTAGGTCTGCAAGGTAGGGCATGGGAGCGGGTTAGGCCAGCTGACAGGGCCTGGCCAGACCACAGAACGGGGGCGTGGCTGGCAGCGATGGGCACAGTGCATGCTGGGAGCTGGCAGCGATGGGCACAGTGCATGCTGGGAGCTGGCAGCGATGGGCACAGTGCATGCTGGGAGCTGGCAGCGATGGGCACAGTGCATGCTGGGAGCTGGCAGCGATGGGCACAGTGCATGCTGGGAGCTGGCAGAGATGGGCACAGGGATATCCCACCTGGTTGGCAGCCACCTGCAGTCTCTCCTCCTCGAGCAGCTTCATTCTCTAGGGGATGGGAAAGAGGCGCCAGTTAAGTCTCCCAGCAGGGCACCGGCCCTTCCCCCGTGCCCAGGAGAGCGGCACAGCCTCACCTCAATGGCCGCGTAGGCCTCCCGGAACACGGCCCATGCGCTGATGCTGCAGTACACGCAGCCCATGGTCATGACGAGGCAGAAGGAGAAGAAGTAGCGATGGTTGTAATGTCCCACGCAGTTATTCAGCCAGGCTGGGCCGGGTTAAAGAGACAACCCGCAGCAAGCAGCCCATGAGCCCTCCCAGCCCTGGGCATCCCCGTCCACCTGCCCCCCCGGCTCCCCACGGGCACAAGGATACGGCAGTGATGGTCCATTTTCAGCACACACCTGCAAGGAGGAGAGCAGCGCGGGCTGGGGGCCAGAGCCA